ACAACAGACCTAATCAGGGTCAATAAAAGCTATATGGTATAGCCATATTGAGGAAAAATAGCCCATTGGGTGTTGATGGCAGGGTTACAATGTTTTATTTATCAGTTTTGCTTCACAGATATCCTTATGCCAGTGAGAATGAATCTGAGGAGAAGGTGCAAATTTTGTTAGAAAAACTATTAACTCAAGTCACAAATTTTTTAACAGAAGAGACTATTGTTTTTCCATATTTGGGCTGTTTGAAATCTGTGGACAAGCATGGATACTCTTCTTTTAGATGCCCTTGATGAAGATGAAAAACTCAGTTCTGAACCAACAAATTCCATGTAGAAATTTAGAAATGTACAAAGTGAGAGCTCTGCAAAGTCTCAGCATACCTTGTGTTATGGCTGGAAAAAGTAATAATAAATGCCATTGTTAATGCAATGAGTAGATATGGTGGTTGAAAAAGAAAACCTGTTGAAGGTCTTTGGAAATTTTTTTCAATAGATTACATGTTATCATAGACACTACAAGCTCTCCCTATTTTAGAGTGTTGACAGTACAAAGTGCTTTTAGTTGAAAAAAAAAATCAGAAAATCACACTCAAACTGCATAAAAATTTGCATTGTCCTCATATGAAAGACTCAATCAACTATTATTGATTGATGCCAGATGTGAAAATGAGTTAATCAAAGCTGTAAGAAATATGAGAGTTTTGTGATGTGTGCAAGCTGTATGAAAAAATACAATTGGATTTCCTATTTTGGTGTGCCTTGAATAATAGACAACAGAGGTGAATTCAATAATGAATCCATGAGAAATTTTGGAGTTTTGGTATCCAACTTCTGAATATGGCAGCACAAAGTCCATGGAGTAATGGTACATACAAAAGACTAAATCAAATCCTATCTAACAGTGTGAAACGGATTACAGAGGAAACTAATTACAATACAAAGATAGCTTTGGCTTGGACTGTAGTAATTCTTTACAGAATTTCAGTGAGTTTTCAAATCAATTAGTTTTTGGAGAAAAAATTCAACTCAGCCTAATGTGATCAATGGCATTAGAATAAAAAAATACACTCAAGTAGTTGTAGAAAACTTAAATGCCATTTTATAAAGAAATGAAGCAAGGGGATATGCTGTGCTCTTCAAGTGAGATCAAAATCTGACATAGAATCTTTAATAATGAAGACAGAGTACATTATGAAATAAGTGAAAATGATGGAGAATGTGGTCAAGGAATTGTAATTGGGGGCAATGGAGAAAAGGTACTTTGGTCAAGCACAGTTGTAGCTATTATAGTTCACATTTGCAGACTCCAAAGTAGTGAGTGGCAGTGAGGAGATATTATTGTGGTTATTGTGGTAGGTATTTTCTTTACTGGTAAATTTGGAATGTGTTTTTCTTGTCTTTGAGCAGGATAGAAATATCATTACTACTTCTTCACACATCATGCATGGCTGGTTTCTACATGGTAGTGTCACTGTTTATCCTCTCCTTGTTCCATCTGCCATGAGCCCAGAAGTGTCATGTTTATATCCTTTTTGACCAGGCTCAAGAATTTGGCATGAACATTGGTTTCAATTAACATCAAAAGTCTCTTTGTGTCAATTTTTTGTTTGGCCAAAATTATTTTATTTTCTGGCATTCCTTTCTTTTTCATTTTTATTTTTTATAACGAATGTTATGTGTGGAACCTCTCTAAATTTTGATATTTTTCAATCACAAATAAGTAAGCTCTGCTCCTGCAAATTTCCAGCATTTTCGGACAGGTTCAGATTTTCTTCTCTTTTATTTGAAGGTTGCTTTCTCATTAGTTGCAAGAAAAGTATAGAAAGAGAAGTTTAAAGAAAGAGATAAGGGCTTTATAGGAAAGCACAAATGCCTTATTTTTATTTTAATTCTTTATTTATATATTTTATTTTTATATTTTATCTTATTTGTTTTTTTTTTGTTGGGGTACTAACTACACTATTAAAAATCAGAGAAAAACATGAAAAGAAAACCTGCTCCCAGGAATAACAGTGAAAATAACGAACATGGTAATGGCAACCACAGTGAAAATTATTCTGAAAATAGCTGCACCAAAGAATGACACTTTTCCATTGGATCTCATAGCACTGAATCTTTCAAATATATTGGCTTAAATATTGTACCGAAGAACTAATTAACTAGAGTACATAAACAGTCTAGAATCAAACACAATTAGAAGAAAATGAAATGGTAAAGTATAAATGAGTAAGATTTAAAGAAACTGCAGTCTTTTATTAGGGAATTGAACTGGGTTGGCACACAAACATGTTCAGATGTCTTTTGATGTGCATGAACTAAGCAGAGCAACTAAGATGGTATAAATTGAAGCTGTCAAGAACAAATAAAATAGAAAGGAAAATAAAGAAAAAGGAAATTAAAGTATTTTCCTTGAGGCAATAAAAAAGGACTGGTGGTTGAATGCTTTAGTAATACATCTTTTGGTAATTTGGAAGAAAGATCCAAAGGAGGCTGTTAACTTAGTAACAATATAAGATATTTGTTGGCATAACAGTCAAGATGAGTTTGACAAGTTTTGAAATCTGCTGCAGAAACTTTGGTCCTGCTTCATTCTGCTGAAGCAGGGATATCTTTGAGATACATATGAAAGAAGTATTATATATCAGTGAAGACTTGCCTATTGTGAAATGCTATGTAGACAATAAAGCTTTTGTTGAGTCTGCACATTTTACAAGACTGGTACAAGATAAGTGGTTCCAGATAATTATCTATCCTTAGCAATATGATTGAACAAGGATATATACATGTAGTGCCCTGGATCTAGTTGGCTTACCATTTTAAAAAAGAAGGAAAATGGATAACTTGTTGAATAATGTATGTTACCAGGACTGAACTCAGGAACTCAAGGTAACAAAAATGTGTAATACTCTTATAAGTTGGTGTACCTACTAACTAAAATAATCACATAATATAGTGTAGTATTGTAATTCTCCAAATCAGATTGAAGACTTTATCCAAGATTAATCATATAATTTTCTTTTTTCATTATCTGATGTTTTAAAAATGCTTTTTAAAATAACATGCCATCAGAGTTAAAATACCAAACATGACACCATGTAGCATCTTAATGGGTTTATTGTCTTGCTTGGGGTGAAATGATTAAAAAAAAATAATTTCAAATAACAAAAAATATTGTTATCAAGCTAGTCACCTGCTGGTCCTCTCCCACCATCCCAGAAAATCACTTACTACCTACCCTGTGAAAATGATATGAACTCACTTTAGTGTACAAATTCTTACTTGTGACATCCCTAACTTAAAAGCCAACCTCAAAACATTCTGGCAATGGGCCTGATGATCAGAAATCAGTAGAACAGGGTAACCAATTTGATAAATTTGGCAACTATAACCCACCACTTTTTATAAGATGCCAATTGAAATAAAAAATTAACAGACAGACTGCACTGTAAAAGAAGTTTTACAAATGTTCTTCATTTTTATATAAAAAAAGAAAACAAAAAAAACAACAATTAACAAATGATTGAAGATGTCCTATTTAATAATTTCTTTGTGGAATGGAAGTATTTTGCTCTCTCCCATTATGTGTAGTGGACCATTATGTTGACTATTGGCTTTCCTTTGCAAAATCACGTCAGCGATCACCATTATGTAGAGGACCGGGAGTGGGGTGAAGATGTAAAGAAAACTCGTGCGTTTATATTTCCTGCTAGAAGGTCCAGCTACATTAGAATGTTGGACTTGGATTAAGTCCAACTGGAGATAAGGAAGACAAACAAACAAGACCGATATATATAAACAAATATATGTATTAAACAAAAAATTTACAAAGCACATAGACAGTTAACATTGTGTTTGTGTGTGAACATTGTGTCTGTGTGAACGTTCGTATTTTGGTGAACGTTCGTAAGAGTTTGTATTGTGGTGAATGTTTGTACGTACGTGTATGTTGGTAATGTTCTATAACATCTGACCACAAGGTCAAGGAGATAATTCTCTGGGACTACATTTTGCAGCAAGAATAGAGAAGAAAGAGAGATAGAGACAAACTCGTGTTTGCTTTTTATAGATAATGTAATCACATGACAGGCTCACAGGCAGGAAACTTGACTTAGTCATGCGCTGGAAAAATATATTGTGCGTGGGTGGATTGCAATGCCTACTGTGTGTTTATTGACAAATTAGAAGCTGATATTTCCTGAAAAATATTTACTAAGCTAAGAAGGCTCTTGGGATCCAATTCTCCCAAAAGTGAACAAAATCGACTATATGAAAATATTATAAAATTGTCGCATAGCTGCAATTTATAAATTTACAAAGCAGTGTTGATTTATAATCCAATGAATGCTTGTTGTTGTATAATTTGAATTTGTATAAGTATGTATATATGTGTGTGATGATGATGATCATTACAAATGTAACAGAACAAAAAAATCAATGATCAGTTATATCTGAACAGTCACAGTTGAATTAAATATTTAGCATAAAATTAAATGTAAATTATTTAATGTAGTAGAAACTTTAACATTTCTTTGATATTGATGGATATAATTTACTAGGTATCTATTCTTTTTTAAGGAAATGTTTAAAATTACAAATTCTAAGAATTCATTAAACTTGAATACATAATTATAATTTTTTCATTCAGTTCAAATGGATTTTTAAAGAATTTAAACAGCAGAAAAAGAACAAGATGAAGGATTTTTTAACATTTAAACGGTAGATTTCTGGTTAAATTACCAGGTTTGTTAATGCAAGGGAGGTAAATCCTTTCTTACCAGTTTATCAATTTTATAAAGTAAACTTAACTTTTCTTTTTCTACAGAAAAAAAAAATAATGAAAGAGTAAATTTGTCTCTACTAATAAAAATATTAAGATAAACAGGACAGGTTATTTTTTTTAGGAGCCTTAACTTTAAATGTTTGTTATTAGAATTTTTGCTTCCCCTTTTGTTAGTTCTCCTACATTCCATGAAGAAAAGCAGTTGAACAGCAGCAGCAGTCGCCATGTTGTCCTTCACAGCAACGACTGGTCGCGCACTTTTCGCCGGCTCTCAACAAATTCTACGCAACGCATTGCACACATCGGTCCCAATGAATGCTAAAGTTGCCGTGGTAAGTTCTCCATCTAAATAAAAACTGAACTGACAATTCCATAAGACTCTTAATTTTATTCTGTTACATGTGGTGTAAGTTAATTTTTAGTTTCCCAAAGAATTGAAAACTTAAAAGGTCTTTTAAATTTGTTTTAAAACAAATGCTCAACAATTTTAAAATATCTTTTCTGAAAATGTTAGTTACGTTTTATGGTTTTACTTAGGGTTATTGTTCGGATAAGCCTTTTCAGTAGAATGTGTAAATTAATAATTTCCCAAACTGATAAAGAGAAACTTTTTAAAGTGGTACTTTAGAAAAGAAAGACCCTTTTTCTTGAATCCTTGATTTATATTTTTTACTTTACAAATGTTACGAAATAAACTGTAAAGTTTTGTCCCCCACCCCCCTCACCTTTAAAAAAAATTAAGGTTTACACACGTTGCAGAGTAAAAGAACAAATTTAGAGGCTCAAGAAGGTAACATTGGTTGAAACTACGGAGCTGATGAAGAAAAATATTTTAAGAAATGATTTTCAATAAAATAAATCGAAATATTTTTAAATTTTTAATTTGTTTGTAGTCTTCTTAGTTAATTAATTTTTTTAAAGCACAAACTAACGTTTTTTTTTATCGATTTAGGATTTTGAAATTGAAGTCTTCGTAAAAATTGGATAAAAAAAAATATTTTATTTACGTTGATTCTTTCAAAAATTTACAAATAATTATTATTGCATTAAGATATTCTGACAAACCTTTTTCGCATTTATTGCATTCAACAAAACAAACGTATGCATTAATAAAAAAAAGTTACTCAATTATATAATATTGCTAAATGACACTGTTGGTTAACATTGGAATGTAAACTAAAAAGTGTGTATTCTTGTTCGGCACATAATTAAAGTTTTCTGTTGTCTGAAGTAAAAAAATTAAAAAGTATTTTCTTTTTCCTTTTCTTTTTCCTCATTTGTTAGGTCAAATTGTGTAAAAATGCAGGTATTTTGGACCTTTGGTTGCAAGTTTTTTTTTCGTTTTTTTTTGTTTTTTTTTTATTTTATTTTTGTTTTAGGAAGCTCCTGAAAGGAAATCTTTTAGTTTTTAATTATTCCGATTGTTTTTACTTTTGGTTGGATTAGACAATCGTGTAGGGGAAAAAAAAATTATCTGTCTATATTTCTGCGAATATAATTGTTCAGGCTGTTGTCCTCATCTTTGTTGTCATATTCACGACAAGTTTCATATAACTGAAACTTTTCCAGAAAAGGCATGTCACGTCGAACTAGAGAACAATCTACCCCAGTGGACTAAAAAAAAAGGCTTCTGTTCGAAATTCCAACGTATATCACCTGAAGAAGGCCGGAGCATACAACGACCGAAACGTCGTGAATATGATACTAAAAAAGATGAAAACAATAATCTGAATAATGTAAATAGTGTATTGTAGTTTTAATTCAAAGATAAATTTATTCCCCGTGAGCAAAATACAAAGTATTTAAAGTGAATTTGTTTATTTTTAGTTAGATTGATTCAGATTGGAATCTTCCCCCATCCTTAGCAGAAACCTCGATAAATTCATGCATAGAGATCTATCAACCAACACAAAATAAATCTTTAAAAAATTCTTTAAAAATAAAATGTACTTTTCTAAAACGTTGACAAAACATAGCTGATTTTATTTAATTTAAATTGAAACAAATTTTACTTTTTTAATTTTGTCAACTTTAAAAAATTGCTTTGTTTTCCTAACGTGTTGAGTGATTTATTGAAAGTCTGATTGGGGAAATTAAAGGGGACAGAACTAAAACAGATTTCTTTTTAGTATTTCTTTTAAAAAATTCCTATTCTGCCAACCATCTACACAAACTCGTTAGGTAGGTTATGTGGTGCTTCCCTCTGCCTCTTTTTTCCTTCAGTTCAATTATTTCAGTATCTCCTGTGAGTGTCAAACTTTTTAAAACCCTCTGTGTCAAAGAAATTTCAACTGTTTCTTTTTGATGCTAAGTGTCCTTTTTCTTTCCATTTTCTCTAAAGCTTTATCGTTTCTCTCACCACCTTCTGTAGGACCACATTTGCCTCGAGTACAAAACAATCTCTTAGTAGTCTTCATTTAATGATGATTTTGTCCTTTATTCACTGTCATAGAGGATGACCGATGTACTCTTTTTTTTTTTTTTCCTTTTCTCTCTTGTTTCTAACAATTTTCCTAAATAGAATACTGTGCATGAAAGATAACTTTATTTTGCTAAATACTAACTACGTAAACGATTTCTTTAAAGATACTCGTTAAAAAAAAAAATCAATAAGGCGATATTATCAATAAAAAAATCACGTGTTTTAAGTGTTGTTCCCTTTCCATTAAAGTGCAAATAATTTCATGTGATAAGAAAAAACGACATAAAAATTTAAAAAGTAATTAGAAACTGAGCAAAAAATTAAGTAACAAAAAAGGTGTACCTCACTACTGCCACGGACTTTTTTTTTTTAAATTCCGATTCTTCAAACATGTCTTTATTTAATAAAAATGACTCTTAACAGCTGAAAATTGATTGATAGGTAATTAAAAAAAAATATATATCGTCTCTGGACACCTTATTTATTTAATAAATGATAAATTGCTAAAGCAATTAAAATTACATTTTATTTTCTTGTGTTGCATCAAAGTAACTTTCCAATTTGACATTTTTTTTGCTGTCAACTGCTCTTCCAAAAAGAAAGTTGCTTTCTGCCCTTCAATTTATGTGATTTCTCATTTTGCACCTTCAACAGTGTAATAGATTAAAGATTTTTAAGTGTTACAAGCTAAAAAATAAGATCTACAGTTTAGATTTAAATACTTCATCATTTCGTATGAGAATATTATCTGTTTACTTTTCTCTTAAAAAAAAAATAAACTTAAATGAATCTCTATTTTTCTCTTCCTTTATTTATTAGGGATATTTACACAGCTTTGTCTGGTACAATAGCAAATAGTAAGCAATGAAGTGAGAAAGAGGGCCTATCTGCCTTGTTTGTAAATGATTATTTTAAACCTTTGCATAAACTGGGTTCAAAACTCTATTTTGAGTTTCTATTAATCTTTAGATTTAGTAAAAACAGTGAATAAGTCATCTGCTGACTCCTTAAACCTACCTAATATCCAGTATTTATTTCAGTATACATTAGTAAGTCAATAAGTCTGTAGCTTAAGGATTAAACTTCATTTCAACATAATCTCATTCCATGTCATTGCACTCAACCTAACACTTTTAGTCAGATAGAATGAACATTGTAAAGTGAAATTTGTCCATCAAAATTCAGCAGCTGTCAGACTATGGACTTATTGTGCTGCTGGATATTTAAAACCTTTTTAGAGAAAGGGTATATATTTTATATGCCAAAAGTACACAAATATTTCTTCTAATTATAGCAAAATCTGTTTTTGAAAATTTTCTATTTGAAGATGTAATGATCATTATTTTCTACAGATTAATTACTATAAATTCAAAAGCCAATGGGAAAATAGCAGTTCAGATATTGAAAAGAAATAGAAAGGGTCTAACAACCTTTGGAAAAATAATAAAAATCTATTGAGAGAAAAATGGAGGGAAAAGGAAGATCACCATCTCCCGTGAAATGAGGTTGAAAACATCACAGGAAAATGTAGTGGATAAGTGTTGGTTGAAGTAATCCGGTGACTTGACCCAAAGAGTTATGAGTTCCATATCTGGTTGCAGAGATGAACAAAAAGTTGGAGAGTTAAAGAGAAATAACCGATAAGAGGCATGGCATGTGGAACTAGAACAATCTACCCTGGTGGGTGAAATAAAGGGTTCAGTTTGAAATTCCAATCACCTGAAGGAGGCTGGAGCTTACAGTGACCAAAACATGAATATGGCAACAAAGATGAGAACAACACTCTGAATAATTGTAATAATATAAATAGAGAAAAAATTATTTACTTTAATCTTCTCTGAATAAAGAAACTGAAAGTGAACTTTTTGGTATTTTCTTTCAATGAAATAACTGATTTTTACTGCAAACTGCATATTCTATGTAGACTGAATTTGTAGCAGATTACAAAAAATGCAAAAGGAAACTTAACATTCAGGCTAATGCCTTCATTGTCATTACTATTATCACAATGTTTTAGCCATTGGCGTTCAGGTCTGTCAGTCCAGATAACCTTCAGAGAATTTATAGCTGAATCCTTTAATTTACAAGAATTGATTTTCCTCTTGGCTGTAGTCCATATGTGAGAAATCTCATCTTCTTCTTTTCTTAGTACTGTATTTATTGTTACATTCAGCATTTTGGCCATAACTTAGCAGTACTAAAAAGAACAAAAATGAAATATCCCAAAGTCTGGACAACAAAACAAGAACAATTTATAAACCGATGCATTAACTTACTAGTGACAATTTCTTGTGAGAATTTATTTGAATTGTAATTGAATTCAGTCAATGCGCCTGGTAGTACAGACATGGACTTAGTGGAAACGGGGTGAGCAATAAGTGAGCATTACTAAAAAGAACGCAATATCTCCAGCTTAGGACAGTGAAATAGGAACAATGTATTTCTGTAGATGAGAGGATTCAATTCAGAATTACATGATGGTTACTTGAAACCTTGATGGAAGGCACCACAACTAAAACTTTGTGATAATAGCAAAATAGATTAGGACATTAATCTGAATCTAAATAATGATAGTGCCTTATTCCCAAAATTCAGACATAAATTATTTGTCCTTTTCCTGATTCATACAGAAGATTTGGTTAAGACAAAGGATGTTAAATTTTGAGATGCACTATTGTTAATCATTTATTGATTTTTTTTTTATACCAGCATCCTCATCTTTTTGTTGTTTTTTGTTATGTATTTTTTAATAAAAAAAAAACCCAAGCCTTCAAGTCTAAGTCATAAACCAGGTGTGGTATGTAGCTCAAGAAAACAATAGTCATGGTCAAAAGTTTCTTTATAAGGATGAAGATGTTACTCTGAAAAAAAATAATAAAAAAAGTAAAAAGAACAATGAAAGGTAATGTCTAAAGTAATAAAGTTATATTGATGTTTGAAATTCTATCTTTATTATTCGCTTTTTCCTTTGAAGTGAACCATTTTATTAAAATTGTTTTCTCTTTAGGTTTTATCAGGTTGTGGTGTCTACGATGGAAGTGAAATCCATGAGGCATCAGCGTAAGTATCATAGTTTGTTTAGATTATGTTGTCAATCCTTAGAAAAGAACATTCTTCTTCTCTATGAAGAATCAGAAAGAATTATAAAGATCATTGTTATTAACATTATATGAATTATGATCTGTATTTGTATTAATATGTTAGGTAATCAATATTGCTATTGCTTATAAAAATACAGACACATAAGCAGATATCAATAATTTACTAAGTTTTACAATTAATAAATGAAAATTACTCCATTTATGTGTGAAATCTAATCCATTCATAGTACCTTGTTCTCCAGAAGTATAAAAATTTTAAGATTTCAAAAAGGGTGCATTGGCATTTAATAATCGAAACTGGAAATTCCACTTTCATCTATAGGTGTACAGCTGAATAAAGGAAAGGAAACTGCCATGTTTCAGTCATCAGAATGATGTCTTTATGTAATAAGGAGACTAAAAAACAAAATAAAAACCCTTGGAAAGTGGCAGAGAAGGCAAGAAAATCACTTAAACCCATCAACATTGAGTAGAGAAAATGGTATACAATTGAGACAGTTGACAGACACTTTGAGCTAAAAGTTCAGTGTCATCTTTTCAGTTGAATCCTCTGTTCAATTTTTGTATGTATCTGTAAATTGCCAAGCCAAGAATTTTGTTTGAAACCTCCGTAGTTCATTCCTGAATGTGTTGTTTTTTTTATGGAACTATTTGAAGCCCTTTTTAATTATAGCATCTCAATTCAAAAAAAAATACATCTCCTTTTTGTAAGAGAACTTAATATTCACTAACAATTTGGACAAAAACTGTATAGTTTGTTTGGGGGTGGGGCAGAAGGAGATTTCTTACACAGCAACACAACAAAAGACTTGAGCATTGTCGATTCAATAAAAAATGAAGTGACTGTTGTGGCCAAGTCAATCTCTTGATATGATTTCTATTAAGTGTCAAAGCAAAAATAAGAAAATATAAAAAACTTACTACAGACAATTTGCTTTGCCTTCAATGAAGTCTGGTTGAGTAACCTACAAATGAAATTAGCAAATCTGTAAATTTAGTCATTGGGTGAATAAAGATTTTAAAATCTTGCATTGAAACAAGATTTTAATTTATATAAAATATTCTTCACTTTGATAAATCACTGAAAATAAAGATCAATTTATTTATTTATTTTTTTTTTTAATGCCTCTCTCATATACTTGCCCATTTAATATTTTGAAGCCTCCTGAAATCTCAAATGCTAACTGCACATTCTTTTATAAATATCTTTAAATATTCAAAATCATAAAAAGCAATTATATTTTAGTTGAAGATTAAATTTAAAAAAAATATTTTCTTGTAGTCTTCCCAAAAATATTAAACTTTTTCCAGCATCACATTTACATAACCTTGATGAATTTTCTAGTTCTTTTCAAAAAAGTTTCTGTAGGCATCTTCTTTTTAATTGAGTATTTCATGAAATTAGAACAAATTTATTTAATCCTTTTGATTTGAGTTGTTATCTGTAACCATAGTTCTTTTTTCAATTTTAACTTTGATTATTTTATTTTTTTAAACTCTTAATTTGTTTTTCCTCAGTGTCCTTGTGCATCTGAGCCGTAACCAGGCCCAAGTATCTATGTTTGCTCCTAACATTGATCAAATGCACACTATTAACCATACGAAAGGAGAACCAATGGAGCCAAACAGGTAACTTGTATGTGTTTTCTGTATATTTGTGTTGTATAACTATGCTATTGTGTTAACTGTAATGATCAGTGCTGAGTTGATTTTTGACTTAGATACAATTGAGTCAAAAACCTGTGAATGAAAAACATGAAAACCTCTGATTGGTTTCTTTTATAACAAGGCAAGAAAATGTTCAGAAAAACCTCTCTCATTTGTATTCATCAAAAGAGAGGCCAGTTATTTTCAAAATATCAAGCAATACTGCAGTGAAAAGAAAGCTGTTTAGATCCCCAAAGTGAAAAATGTGGCATTGTTTCTGTCTGTGACAAGTCTTTCTCTCTTTTTGCTTCTCTGGCCTGTTTTTCTCAGTGTTTTATCATTATGTTAGTTTTAATATAGCTTCCAACTGATCAGTAGCCATCACATGAAGACAGTCTGTAACATTATGTAAAAGATTGCAACTGATTTTTTATTTTGTAACATTTCTGTTTCAAAAGAGCTAATAATGTATACTTACTGCATATTTGCATATATGCCACTTGGGTTTTCACTGAAAGATTCCATTACATTTCAATGATACAATAAAGAAATGTTTATTTACTATATTTGTTTTTATGCTGAGAAAATAGCTTGGAGATATAAATAATGAAAATCTATTTCAGTTAACTGGAAACATGAAATTACTGCAAAAGGAAATGAATGTGTTCCCAAATTATTAAACTAATAAGTGTGTAGATCTTCAGCTGCTCTCCAATGATTTTGTAGAGGATTTATTACCTTGAAAAGAAATAATGACAAAAGTTAATGATTATCACAAAAACTTTTTAATACAAATGTAGATCATTTTTTTTAGTTGGCTATTTACAAGTGATTAAAAAAATATAACTTGATTTTTAAGTAATGTCTTCAAATAGAAGCAACAAATAAGTAAGCAAAAATAAGAATGTGAGAAGGTCTAATATAAACTAATTAATTTTGTTTCTCTATTATAAAAAGCAAATATACAGAATGCAATGAGTAAATTGCCACCATTTTAATTTTGCATATGTATATTGTTTGTTTTTGATTTTGTCAACTGCACAGTATAGTAGGGTCAGTTGGGCACCATCTTTGAGAAAAAGAACACCATGGCGAAATTCACTCTGCCAGAAATTTGGAAACATGTTGTACTGCACGGTATTTGTGCTAGAAGTTGCAATACAAACATTTCAAAGTGTTTGGGTATCAACCTGAGTCCAAAGGATTCAGAAAGAGTTGGATGAGTCTAATTACAGTGATTATAAGGGTATGGCAGCACAGAAAACTCACTCCAGTCATTCTGATAAAAGAACTCCCAAATTTATTGATGAGGGCCTCAGACTCAACACAAAGACCTACATCAAGTACCTTGAGGAGGTAGTGCTGCCCTGGGTCAAGAGAGTGGCTGCTGGAAGACTCTACATCTGGCAACAGGACTCTGCACCAGGTCACAAGCAGGAGAAACAAATCATAGCTGTCAGACAATGTTTGTGACCATCACCCTTCATATCTGGCCACCTAACTCCCCAGAATGCATTTATTGATTATTATGTGTGGGGTGCAGTTGAACAAGAGACCAACAAAACTCTTTGTAACACCAGAGATTTACTGAAGGCAAGGATTATGGCAGCATTCACCAACTTAAACAAGGAGACCATCCAGAAGAGTTGCAGAAGATTCCAAAGTTGCCATGATTGAAGCCAATGGCGATTTTATTCAATAATTTTGCTCTATAGTATTTCTAGATATTTTTGTGTCATTTTGATAAATGTATCTGTTAAAATAAGATGTCAGTGTTATTTTTATTTTTGCCTAATTAATCCATCGCAGTCTGTATATTAGAAGCAGAATGAGCAATAATGCTCATTGTTAGTCAGGGTAATGTATTTTTTTTTTCTCTCCCCAGGAATGTGCTAATTGAGTCTGCTCGAATTGCTCGAGGGAAAGTTGAAGCTCTTTCTGGCCTCCAAGCAAATGGATTTGATGCTGTTATTTTCCCAGGAGGATTTGGTGCTGCAAAAAACTTGTTAGTAAGACTTATTTTTCTTGACAAGTAAATTCTAATTGTAAGTTGACTGAGATGTGTGCAATTTCTATCATTTAATATATTTTATAAAAATGTATTGTTTTTCTTGGCTTTTATTTTTATTTTATATATTCTGAAGTTCTTTTTTTTAACCAATATCTGTAAACAAAAAAAATATTAATACCAAATTGGGTGGGCTTATTATCACATGTTCATTTTAGTCTTTGTTTTTAGTGGTGTTAATAAATATTAAGGGATACAGGATTTTTTGTGCCCTTAAATCATTTCATATTCTTACAATTAGGTTACTAGGTTATTTTTCTACATTTTTTCCTTTTCAGATCTTCATTTGCATCTGAAGGTGCAGACCTGAAAGTTATCCCTGATGTGGAACGGGTTTTAAAAGAATTCCATGAAGCCAAGAAACCAGTTGGGTAAGCGATATAAATATTTTTATATTGCAAGTCAATTACATAGGAAACTTTTTGAAAGAAAAATTCTCACTAAAAACTTTCATCTTGGATATCATTAAATTTTATTTTTCTTAATTTTCAATATAACGTAGAGACTTTCATTTTAAGGTGACCAAGAATATATAACAGAATCTTGTCGACTGTCACAAGTCAGGTGAAATATGTATACCTCTGTCATTTTGTTTTGCATATAAATAATTTTTTGTAACTTTTGATAAAGTTAACTAGGTTTGTAAAATTTCAGCATTATGAAGATGATTATCAGGATAATAAAAGTGAAATTGTTTTACCATTAATGAACTGAAAGTTTTTTTTATTTTTTTTTTGTGTAGTCTTTGCTGTATTGCTCCTGTACTGGCAGCCAAAGTTATTCCAGGTTGTGAAGTTACAGTGGGGTCAGATGAAGAAGAAGGTGGCAAATGGCCTTATGCTGGAACAGCTGGAGCCATTGAAAAGCTTGGAGCCAAACATGTGAAAAAGGCTGTGACAATATCCTTTGTGTTTCTTTATTAAAAGAAATTCTTTATTTGTTTTTGTACAAATAATAAGTAATATTTAAACTTTGTTAGTACCATTATAAACAGGTTAGGGATAGATATTTGTTATTAATGCTTGTATTCTATTCTGAATAGTAGCTGATCATTCCATTTGTTTAATATACAAATGTTCTGGTTTTGTTGCTTAATTCCCAAAGTCAGTTTTAAATAAGGTTTTGTATGAATTTATTTTGTGATTTTAAGGGTTAAATACTTTTCCCAATTAGAAAATTTAACCTTACATTGTTATAGAAAATTGAGTTATATTTGATTTAGTAAAAAAGTGCATTTAAATTTAGAGGTCAGAAAAAGATTTTGTTACATTTAATGCTTAAAGAACTGTATTTAATTTCTATGGCAATCTGTTACGTTACATTGTCATATAATAGCATGTATATGTTAGATAATTATTTTTTAATTACTATTTAATCAACTGATCCCAACTTTTACATATTTATATTAATACATAAATATCAGTTTTTATGCTTTCGTATTGATAACCTGGAAAGTATTATCATTTTTTATGTCTTTGTCAGCTGATTATGATGTACTGTAAAAGTAGGTTCATTTTAGTCTCTTACGAAATTGTTATAAAAGAAAATTTGTTTGTGGTGCATTTACATCATTTTGCTGAGCCTACAATAATTTTATTTGAATTTCTGTTATTTCACCTTAACTGATTTGTTTTTTACGAGGCCCATGTAGATATGAACAACAAAATTGTAACAGCTCCTGCATTTATGTGTGAAACTGGGGTTCATGAAATTTTTGATGGAATTGGAGAGATGGTCACCAATGTTTTGAAACTTATTTAAAGAATGATAATTATCAAGCAAGCCATGTCTTTCTTGACTGTATGGGGCTAACTAATTGCTCAATACATCAATATGAGACTGAACACTCCACAACGTCTCAGATTTTGAGCAATATTCTGTTCAACAAAAACACGAATTACCACCAAATCTAATTCAGTCTCTTTTTCTAAATGTGGAACTACTGTTTGCATTTTCTTTTGCAGCTATGAAATCTATAAAAACTGATCAATAGTATTTTTCTGAAGACTGAGTACTTATTAGATACAATTAAAAATAATTTTTGTTTGTAAATGTTTTATTTCCCATATTGAAGAATTGTTCAATTATGAAAAAAAAATTCATTATTAAATGAGGTCTTAAGAAATGTTTTGTTTTATTAGATTGTTTTCTCTTTTTTTTCTTTTTTTTTTTCTTACTTTGTAAGTTTATAATAATTCCATTATCAAATAAATTGGCCAAATAATGCATTTACTGCAGTAAAAGAAATTGTCAACTGCTTTTATGCTAATGTTTGTGTTTTTATTATGGCTCACTTTCTTTGTGTGTGTTATTAAAATAGCTGAATTATTTTGAGTCCTGAATTGTAAAAATGTATTTAGAATTTCTGTGGAGCCAACTCATCCAGATAATTAGGACAGAAGTAATTTTTAAGCATTGATTTATTTTCGTCTAATTTTCACAGGCCCTGAGTTTAGTACAGATTTTGAAAATTATATGCAATTTTTTTTCTTGTGTTCGCACATGCCATACATGTTCAGTTTTGTTTAGTCTGGCATAATGTAACTATTATTTCCTCCAAGGATAATTAAAACACCATTAAGGGCTTGTTTTACATTCTTTTTAATCATCAAGCTTTTATTTAACTTGTAAGGTCCTTTGGTGACGCCCTGCATCTAACAAATAGAAGTTTTGCTATTACTTTCCTTCAAAAGAAAAACTTTAAAATAGTTTCTCACAAGAGTCCGTTTTAAAAGGTCAACCAAAGTTACTTCCCTTGAGACGGAAAAATTGACCTTGAAAAAAGAAAATTCCAAGGATTAGAAAATTAGATGAAATTTGAATCTTGAATAATTTTTTTTTCTTTAAATTTCAAATTGCACATTAAATCCTGAATACTTTATGTATTTTTACTTTTAAGAAAAAACATCAACAAAGTTAAGTTTTTGCTGAGAATAGAAATTTTTGTAGAAAATAAAATTTAAAAAAATAAACTAATCTGTATCTTGCAACATAGAATTAAATTTATTTTAATATTTCCTTAGTTCTAAGTCATGTTGATATTCAATCAACTTGGATTTTGACACTGCTTCTTCACAAATATGATTTGACTAAAAGTTGTCAAATTTTAAAAAGAGTAAAATTATGTAATAAATAGCAAAAACTGATTAAGATGAGTTTTGTGAGCAAAGCATCTATGAAATTTAGTTACAATTTTTCAAACACTGATAAAAAAGGTAATACATTGTCTTAGGGAAGTGATTTTGAATATTGTGTACACTTCACATGGGATCAATTTAGAATTTTTATGAGAAGTGCAGAAAGCATTCTGGAGAATGGAGTTGTGTTAATTGATACATTCAAAAAATCTTCAGATGTATTCAGATATTTTCTGCTAATTCATATTTCTTTGTTTATAAATGCTGTTTGAATCAGCCATTATCTTAGTATTCTTATTAAATGAATAAAAATTTATATATTGCTGCTTTCAAAGTATGAGTCTGTAAATTTCATAAGTGATTATAGTAGACCAATCTGCTAGTAGAAAATGTTAAATGGGTATTGCCTGCTTTTCTTGCAGAGGAGGTAAAGTTATATTCAGAATATATCTTTGTAGCAACTTACACAATACCAAGATTTCATAAATGTAAGATTTTCTTAATTAGTATAACTTCTATTGCTGGATTCTATAAGGTTCCAACTTTCAAATCACCTTACCTGCTATGAGAAAATATGATCTGTTTACCCCCCCTCCACACACACACACACTACAACTGTACTAGAAATTGGTACCCTTGTTAGACATAGCCACCACAATGTTGAGTTTGACCATTTTAATACTCAGTTGTGCTCTTTAATGGATATGACTTTTTTAAACAGAACATTTAAAACCTTGAGCACAAACATTTTGTTGCCATTTTCATGTTATGATAAATGTGTGAGATGAATAAATAGTAGAATATGTAAGGATAAGCAGGATAGATAATGGGTAACTCTTGAAGACCTTAAGATCATGTTTATAAAAGCATCCATATGTGAATCTGTTCCACTAAGTTATCAGATTTTTGGAACTAAGGAAAGTGAGTGAACTCGGGAAGTAACATAGTGTATTCTAGTTATAAAGGTCTCTGAATAAAAGAATGAAGCTCACCAATATCTGCTATAAAAATAATGATAAGTTTGCACACATGGGGAAAGTCTTTTAAAAATGATTTTGTAGTCTGTCAAAGCTGAAAAGTGAGGAATGAATAGCACCAGCCCACATCGGTAAACAATGCTCCATTTTTGGCTACATCTAACTATTGTAAAGATAATGTATGGCAGAGGTATCAGATACTTCCTGGAGCATTAGAAGAAGCTGACAATTTTTCCAGCATCTATAGCAATGTATCGTATATATGAGTTTTACTTAAGGCCTGGAATGAATTTGAGATCCACTAGACATTCAAAGCATGGCGCTTCATTGTGACTGAAGAAAAATGTATCACACCTTGATTGGTTGATGATGTAAAACTATTTTCAGAAAGACACTATCATATATGAAGGAACATGGGTTATTTTATAGAACTATTTAAAGAAGTACTATCTCCTTACTCATGGAGAGCTTCAATGGTCATATATAATGATTGTTAACAAAGCACAAATGGAGAACATCTTGATTATTCAACTTGACAAACAAAACAGCTTAATCTGAATGTCCCTACCAGCATCTCTGTTGACAACTAAATGGTATTGTTTTGAGTATGAACAATTGCTTGGGTTTGATATAACATGGCAGAAAAATGACCTAGCTATGGTTTCTTAGCACTAGAGAAGACAAACAGCAACAGGGCCTGATGTGATCATAACAAATGCTCTCACCCTCAGACAATTTGGCATTGACAAGATCACAGAAGTAATAAGCAAAATATACAACAGTGGTGACATACCTGAGGACCTCATTAAATCCATCTTCATGACATTACCTAACACCAAAAAGTGCAAACAAATGTGAGTTCCATAAGTCAATTGGTTTATTGAGCCACATAACCAAACTAATGATGCAAATCAATGAATAGACAACTAAACAATATTAGGCAGGAAATAGGACTATAATAGTACAGCTTTGTCAAGGACATTGAAACAAGCAATGTGATATTTATGATTAAAATGATATCAGAAAGAAATACAAATGCTGAAGGATGTGCACTTATGTTTTATAGATTACACAATAGCATTTTACAATGTATGGCGCAAAAATGTATTTGAACTACAAGGAAATCTAGACCTATTTAGAAAAGATGTTAGAACAGTACAGAAAAATATAATGGGAGCCAACTGCCTAAATATAGACAGAAAATGAACTAAGTAGCTACACAAAAATAGAAATGATATGTCTTCTCTACAGATTTAAAGTGACACTATCCTAAGAGAAGTGGAGATGTTACCAAGATTTATTATCAGTGTGCATAATTTTAACAAAATAATATACAGATAACACTGTGTTGATGGCTGACTTGGAAAGAAAACTACAGGACATCTTAGAAGAAAGCAAGAAAAAAAGACTAACCATCAATTGCAAGAAGAAAGAAAATATGGTCATCAGCAAGAGAAAAAGCCCAAAATGCAAGTTAGAAATTGGAGGTGTCAACATCAAGCAAGTGCAGAATGAAAATGAAACTAATATCTGAATACATATTGGGCTAGCAAAAGAAACATTCCAAAAACTAAGGAAGGTGCTGAGAAACAGAAAACATCATTAGAAACAAAAAGAAAGTGTACTAGATTGCTATGCAATATTTATCCTCTTATATGGCAGTGAATGCTGGACAATCTCCTCATGGATGAGAAAAAAAATGAAGGCAGCAGAAATGTGTTTCTACAGAAGGATACTGAAAATCCCATTGATGGAGATAGTAAGCAACATGGAATTATTAAAGGAAATGATAACAGAAAGAACACTTAT